GTTCATTCATCTGATGACAGACGATCATCATCCTGGCTATAAAACATTTAATCCGCAGCTTTGGTGGATAGTGAAGTCTGTATATTTTCTTATAGTTTGTTTTAACAGTTGTGTCATATTTCGATTGTGCAATTGGCTATTGTTATGTTCATACTTTTTTCTCTCCAGCTTGAGAAGCTTAGTGAAGTACAATCACAACCAGAGTCACAATTGAAATTCATTTTAGATGCCTGGCAACAGGTAAGCCAAAAAATGGGTCTGTTCATTCTGTTATATATATATATATGGTCAGTTTGGAGGATAGTTTTAAATTCTGCCAATCTAATACTCTGATTGTTTAGGGGATGTATTCATTTTGTGACTGTGAATGACATTATAAGACTAGGCTTTTTAAGATTTTTATATTTTAATTAAATCCTTGGAAATCGTAAGTTTGGAGGAGGATTTTTTGGTAGAATTTCGTATATGTAATTTATATGCGAAATCTCAGTAAGTCTTAGAAAGTCCAAACAAATCCAAGTGGTAAATAAATTGAATACCTCATGACATTTTAAGATTTAATACCTCCACACTTTTAAAAGTTTCAAAAAGTCAAGTTAAATACACCATGACTCTTAAAATCTCAAAAAGTCTTAAAATATCCTGAATGAATAAAAGTATTTGTGAATAATTATTGAGAACATCTGTATGATGGATGCAATCTTGGATGACGATTATTTTTAGTTGCATCAACGAGCTGTCAACATTGATTTAATAGTTTCTGACTGTTATCATGTGTGCTTTTATTTATTTGTTCATTCCTTCATTGTTAGAAAATCCCTATCATATATGTTCCTCGTGCTTCCTTGGCTATGATTAATATCGTATAAACTTTAGTTTGTAGTGTTAATTTTTCTGTTTGGACTATTACATGAAGAACAGTTTCCAGATAAAACTGAGACTGTCTTCTAACTTGTGTTTTTAGCATGTGTCCTTTGCTTATATTATCAATAAACATGCATTTTGTTGGGACCATTGTGCAGATTGTTGAATGTAGGAGAGTGCTCAAGTGGACTTATGCATATGGATATTATCTACACGAGCACGAAGACACCAAAAAGAAATTTTTTGAGTATTTGCAAGGTATCATCTCTCTCTCCATAACTGTCACGTTCCTGAAGAATTTATGTATCATTGTTGTTTTATTTGAAACCAACATGTTGATGTTTAGGTGAGGCTGAGGCGGGTCTCGAGAGGCTTCATCAATGTGCAGAGAAGGAACTAATGAATTACCTCAATGCTGATGGGCCATCAAAAGATTTTAATGATTTCCGCACAAAGCTTGCTGGTCTGACCAGGTACCTTTTTGTTGCTAGGACAAATGAAGTGATTGTTACTATTATAATTCTGTAAATAGCCTGCTTTTTTTTTTCTTTTTTTTCTTTTTTACATAGAACTTGGAACATCAAGAGCATCGTGCCATTTGAGTTGTCGGTTTCTATTGATTATTTCTGAGATTCTGATAGATGTTTTTCAGCATATATTAATTATTTACTCGTATTTCATATCCCAAGCAGGATATATATGAATTTATGTGAGCATTGTAGTTGTTCTTTCTGAACTAGCCAGTAAAGCAGACATGTTGAATTGTCCAGTTTGAAGACAAACGTAATCTGTTTGGATTCAAACTGATGATAAAGAGATTCTGAACTAAATATTGCTAGAAGAATTTCATATCATCATTCAATGTTTGGACATGCATTTGATTGGCTGTGTAATGATTTTGCTTCGACTTCTGGAAATCGCTCTCTCGTTTGCTTGTCCTTAAATATAATTTAAGAGAGTCGGGATTGGATCAACATGTTTTATGTCTTCCCTTTGATAAAAGTAAGATTAACTCTGTCCTGTTTATACAGCGTGACACGAAACTACTTTGAGAACTTGGTGAAAGCACTGGAGAATGGTCTTTCAGATGTATCCCAGGCAGCAAGTAATAGTATGAAAAGTTCCAAAAGTTCCAAAAATATAGCTGGGACTAGCAAGAGTAAAGGCTCAAGGTGAAAAGGATCTTCCAATTCATGCACATCTGGTAGAAATGCAGATGATTGAGTTAACTGGGCATACAATCAGTGTACCTTCATGAATGTACCGTCTGCAAACATGACTCGTGAGATGGACTTTTTTCTGCATTTTCAATTACAATTATGCAAAGTTATGGATTTCAAAGACGGCCACTACTTTCCTCACACTAGCTTTAGTAACTGCTCTGATTTCAGATAAATGGCGGATGCTTTCCTGGATGTGGCTTTGGACAAGCTGTGGTATTTGTAAATAAATCATGCATCAAGTTTTAAGTGTTAAATATCTTCTTTAACTCTTTACCCGCACCCCATCAGTGTTCTTTTCTTTTCAAACTTGGCATGATGGAATGTACAAGATCTTTGACTGTGATTGTATCCACTTCATCTGCCTTATTTTGTGCTTGTAATGTGTTGTGATACATGGAAATATATGTTGGCGTTGGGCAAACTCTTTATTCTTGTTGAATATGAAGCATTTCATCCTCAGTTCGTGGTGTTTGATCATGGTATGGAGTAGGCTGTGAATGAAGTTTAACTTGCTATTAAAGCTCGATTACCCAATTCTTTTGTGCCGTATTTGTTTGAGCTTGATGCTAGTAAAGTACACGTGCGATAAACGTGGTGGTAAATATTTTTTGTCGATTAAGTTTAGTAAACTAATAATTAATTTATTAAACATATTATTGCAGAAACTAAAAAAAATGTAAGACAAATGAGTTCTTAATGTATTTTTTTTTTAAAAATAAGATAATGATGTCGTAATATAAAAAGAATAAAATAATATATTACAACTCCAACAATAATATATATGAAAAATGAGTTTCTAATGAAAAAAAGAAAGAAAAACACTAAATAAATAAGGAAGTAATATATATTATAGATGTATTAGTTCTTTTATTTATTTGTATTAGATGATTCAAGGGTGATTTTCATTCATTTTAGTTTTGATATTCTCATAAGACACAAAGAAACAATCACACCCATTGGAGCTCAATACATCAATATTATTGCAAAAGTTTTCTTAATTCATTTGGCAAAACATCTACTTTATTCAAACACTCATAAATATTGGCAAAACATATAATCAAACTTCATTATTGTATTATCTTTATAATGTATTTCTACTACGTGTTCATAAATATCACTATGAAATAACCATGTGTCATTAAAATTGCTAATAATTTTTTTTTTATTATTATTGTATAAACAACTACATTAATATCTCATCATATACACAAATTGGAGGCATCGCCCCATGGGGTAAATGAATTTCATCTCCAAATAAAAATTGACTTTTCATAATCTTGGTTGCATGTACTTCTCTCGAGACGCTAAATTATTTTTTGAAATCATCACACATTACATGAAAGTATATACTATAAAGTAATTGCACATATGTTCGAGTACAATACACCAATGAAATTGTAAATATTCCTATAAAAAGTGAGAACTTCATTCAAACATTAAAAAAGATTTTGATTAGGCTCCGACATTCTCTTTTAAATGTTATTTATTTGGAAGATAGACGAACTATATAATCTATTGTTTGCAAATCATTGACCATTTTGGTTGTTGCAATGATTAGAGTTGTTTGTCATAATATCCTTCACATTAATTCGAATTTGCAATAATTATGTGTCTAATAATTATTTTTGGAAATCATCACACATTACATGAAAGTATATACGATAAAGTAATTGCACATAAGTTCGAGTACAATACACCAATGAAATTGTATTTATTCCTATAAAAAGTAAGAACTTCATTCAAACATTAAAAAGATTTTGATTAGGCTCTGACATTCTCTTTTAAATGTTATTTGTTTGGAAGATAGACGAACTATATAATCTATTGTTTGCAAATCATTGACCATTTTGGTTGTTGCAATGATTAGAGTTGTTTGTGATAATATCCTTCACATTTGTTCGAATTTGCAATAATTATGTGATTTCCTTAATGCTTTTATCGTCCAATTTTTTGCATCATACATAATACTTCAAAACTTCAAGAAAAAAAATATTTTTTTGATTCTTCAGCAATGACAAAACAAAACAAAACAATGAAATAATATTGAGAAACATATTATTTGTTAAAATATTTGAGAGGGGAAGCATTAAAATTCTATTATATTATGATACTTTTAGTCTTCTATGAATTTATTACTACGAAGTCATTATTAAAATCTACATTGTGTATTACAAAGTTTATAGTCTTTTAATTATTTAAAAGTTCAAAATTGATAATATCAAATCATTATTTATGAGAATATAAACGCTAGCAACAAAAAATGTAGCAATTATAAAAGATATTTGTCTCTAGACATTGATATTCATACTTATCTAAGAAAATTCAGATATTTGCTTTCCCAATTGTGTTGCTAATGTTATTCTTTTCATAAATAATGTTTTATTTGTTAAAAGAGTTATAGCATATTTATATGTATTGCATCATTATTTTGTACGTGTTTATATACTGACGTTATCAAAATATCTCATTTATTACGCTACAACTAATATAATCACATAAGATAAAGTACTATTTAATATTAATTGTAAGTTTACATCTATTTTGTACTTTTTTCTTAGTATGAATATTTCAAATATATGTAAGAAAAATATAGCACAAGTTTATCTTATGTTAATTTCTTTTTTTCCCAACGATAAGAAATTTTATATCAACCTTATGAACACAAATACAAGCCGAGAGCCAAATAGCTCAATGTTTCAAAGAACGCGAGAACTACACTACACGGTGGCCTAAACCACTCACACATCTGCCAAAAGACAAAATCCCAACATGGATATCAAGGCAGCCTAACCAGCTGCAACTTTGACAAACCACTACAACCACACCTGAACATAAGGTACCCCCAATATTACAAGATAAAAAAGAAACACTGCAGTATAGCCAACACAGACTAACCAAAATAAGAAAAAAATAAAACAAAACTAACAACATAGCTAACAGACCAAACAGAGTAACTTAAAAAAACTGAGATTGAGTGCCCACTGAACCAAAAACCAGGACCTAGACTCCCTCGCAATCAGCTCTCAAAGTCTTCTTCTTGTCTGTGACATAAACTCTTGCCAGTCTCTAGTTACTGCCTTCACAATCAGATGCTCTCGTAACCATTCCTATTTGAAGATCCATATATTCCTAGCTTTCTATAACCACCATAAGATGTATGTGGTCAGCTGGATTCGTGCCTCTGAGATGTCCTTATTGTCAATAGAAGACACACTCTCCCACCAGATTTTAAACTGCTAGAATTCTCCTTGCTAAAGTCCAGATGCTTGGAGCTAACTTCCACACATGCATTGCTGTGGTACATCTGAAAAAGAGGTGGTCAATGGATTCACTCTTCTCACCACATCTCTGACATATGTTATCCACCCCCATGTCTCTTTTTCTCAGATTTTCTTTGACTGGTAGTGTGTTGGTATAGCTCCTCTACAGAAAGTGCTTCAGCTTGCCTTTGATTTTCAGTTTACAGCTTTTCATTATGATTTTTCTCCTGAGTAGTGCTTGACCACTAGTTTCTGCAATATCCATGTGTCTGAACTTGTCTTCAAAAAACTTAGAGTAGGCATTATCAACCCCAAACTCCCCTTTAGATCCATCATCCTAGAACCACTTATCAACCTTAATTGGGTTGAAAGAGTTGATTTGCAAAATGGCCTTGCTGTCCTCTTCATTGAAGACCTCCTTGACCAGAGTAGTGTTCCATCTCCATCCACCAAACTCCATAAGCTCACTAACAAATTGAATTTCAGTGCAACTGCCCTTTCTGATTCTTGGAATTCATGTCAATGAACCTAGAACCCAAGAATCCTGCCAAACATTAGTAAATACACCATCCCCAATTTTCTTTCTGAAGTACCTCTGATATTTATTCTTCACATTAATCCAAGCTTCCAAGAGCCATGAAGCATTTTGATGTTTCTGAGCACAAAAGATGTCACCAAAGGGGAAGTATTTCCCTTTCAGCAGTTTGCTCATCAATAAGTTGGGATTTGTAGAAACTCTCCATATCTGCTTCAAAATTAGTGCTTCATTGAATAATCTAAGATCATGGAATCCAATCCCTCCACAAACCTTAGGCAAGGTCATGAATTACCAGGATTTCCAGTGTATACCTGCAGAGGATTCATCCCTATTTCTCCACCAAAAGTTAGCAAACAAGCTAGAAATTTTATGGCATAGAGAGATGGGAAGGGAGAAACAGGACATAGGTAAAACCGAGGTTGCATTAAAAACAGACTTCATAAGAACCTCCTTCCCAGCTAAAGATAAAAAGTTATTCCTCCAACAAGAAATCTTGTTGCTGACCACCTCAATCACATAGTCAAAAGTTTGGAGGAGGAGTACACTTGAATGCCGGAAAGCAGCTGACACACAGAAGTCTGTACCTGATCAGATACATTTCTCCTGAAGAACACAGAGGATTTCATCAAGTTCACTTTCTGTCCACTGAATTTGTTATACAACTCAAGCACTTTGAGCACCACATTAACATAATGAACATTAGCACCACAGAAAACAAGAGAGTCGTCCGCAAAGAGAAGGTGAGATAAAGTGATACTTCCTCTAGCAATTATATACCAGACAGCTGCCCCCTATCAATTTCCATATTTAACAATCTAGAGAATAGCTCAAACACTAGAATGAAGAGATAAGGGGATATTGGATCCCCCTATATAATCTCTCTAGTTGCTTTAAAATAACCACACAACTCCCCATTAAAATTCACAGAGAAAGCTGAGGTAGTAACACACTCCATAATCCCTTGAGCAAAGACAACATGGAATCCAAATTTCAGCAAAACCGTTCTAATACAGTTCCATTCTAGCATATCATAAGCCTTCATCATATCAAGCTTAATGGCCATATATCTTTTTTTCCCTGTTCTATGCCTGTTTAGGAAATGAATCATCTCATGTGCCATAATTACATTATCAAGCAGCTGTCTACCTGGGGTGTAGGTAGCTTGATTATCACTCACACAAAGATACATCACAGGTTTAAGTCTAGCTGCTAGAATTTTGGAAATAACTTTAAGCAACATTACACAGGCTTATAGGTCTGAAGTCACTCAAGGAAGAAGGATTGATACACTTAGGAATAAGACAGATAATTGTATGGGTCCAACTCTTAAGAAACTTTTTAGAGTAAAGAGAGAAGAGATTGTTTCACACAGATCAATTTTCACAATAGGCCAAAAATGTTGAAAAAATAGAGGGGACATACCGTCCTCACCCGGAGCTTTCCCACGGTTCAAGATAAATAGAGCATTCTAAATTTCCTCTTCATCAACATCAGCCACAAGCTCCTAGTTAAGGCTAGCAGAGATGGAACATGGGATAAGTTGTAAAATCTGCTCTTCATCATGACTTCCAGTAGAGGAGAATAGCTCAGAGTAATATTGACAATGGCTTTGTCAATATCCTGCTTGGACTCACAAACTTTTCCATTTTCTACCACGAGTCTTTTTATTGCATTTGTTTTCCTTCTCTTCATTGTAAGGGCATGGAAGAACTTTGTATTTCTGTTCCCATTTGTCAGCCACTGGTTCCTTGATTGTTGCCTCCAGAATTCTTCCACAGAGCATTGAGCTTCCTCTAACTCCCTTTTCACCTTGTCCAAACAGTCCCAATTCTTTTCACCTCCTTTAGCTTTTATTTCCTCTAACCCAATTGTCAGTTGTTCCACCTTCTTAGCATTTTCAGATTTGAGAGCTTGACTCCACTTTAGTAGGGCAATTCTTGTTTTCTTAATTTTCTCTTTGAAATTGAACATGGGAGTCCCAGAACCTAGAGAAGACCAAGTGTTTGAAACTACCTCCTCCAAACCTTCCTCAGACACCCATCTACTGTCAAGCTGAAACCTAGGTTTTCTTTTATTACTACTCAGCCCATCATCATATAGAACAAGGAGACTATGATCTGATGAGGTTTTAAGGCAATTGAGGACTAAGCATTTTTGTTCTAAACCATCCAATCATAAGAGGCATAGACCCTGTCAAATTTAACTTCTATGAATTCATTACCTCTTCTGTTATTGCACCAGGTGAATTGGTGTCCTTGCATACAAACCTCATACACTCCCATCCTAGCTATAAAGTTCTGGAATTCTGCTAACTCCTCTATACTCTTCTCTCTTCCTCCTACTTTGTCTTCTTTGTGCAATATTTCATTCCAGTCTCCCCCAATCACCTAATTAGAACCCCATTTTCCCTTAGCTTGAACTAAAAAATCCCACTGCTCTGATCTAACACTTCTGTCAGTGCTTGCATAGATAAATACTATCCACAAAGGCTCCCCTCCATTCTGATCAACAATCTCAATCTCAAAACAAAAAGAGTGACAGATGATTTGAATGATACTGATGCTCCTATCCCATAAAACAACTTACCCACCACTCAAACCCAAAGGGTCCACAGCCGACTACCTACTTCTAAACCCAACTTATTACATATAGTTCTCACAAAATTTTTATGTTTTTTTATTTCTGCTAAAAAATGAACCGTGGGTGGTGGACTCGAATTGAGTCCTTCAATTGGGAAACTGTAGAGGGTCCACCCAGTCCTCTACAGTTCCACAAGATCATCTTCTTTTATGGGGGTGGGGCCAGTAAAGGCTGGCTACCACCACCTCATCATTCATTTGCATGATCTTTTTCTTTCTTCTTTCAACCCTCTCTAACTCAGTGGTTGAGTCCTTTTGACTCATTTATGCTTCTCTCTCTCTCTCTCTCTCTCTCTCTCTCTCTCTCTCTCTCTCTCTCTCTCTCTCTCTCTCTCTCTCTCTCTCTCTCTCTCTCTCTCTCTCTCTCTCTCTCTCTCTCTCTCTCTCTCTCTCTCTCTCTCTCTCTCTCTCTCTCTCTCTCTCTCTCTCTCTCTCTCTCTCTCTCTCTCTCTCTCTCTCTCTCTCTCTCTCTCTCTCTCTCTCTCTCTCTCTCTCTCTCTCTCTCTCTCTCTCTCTCTCTCTCTCTCTCTCTCTCTCTCTCTCTCTCTCTCTCTCTCTCTCTCTCTCTCTCTCTCTCTCTCTCTCTCTCTCTCTCTCTCTCTCTCTCTCTCTCTCTCTCTCTCTCTTTTCAAAGAGCTCTGACTAGTCTCTACATCTTTGATCTCATTACTCTTTCCAATCTGTTCACTTTCTTCCTCATTCTTATCCACTTCTTTTTCTGTACCTCTGAAGTTTGATTCGTCTCACCTGCAAATGGTTGTTTTACTTCAGCTATTAAGCTTTCTGAACTGACATCTTGCATTAGGGGTTCTGCAGGAAAAATGTCTTCAGCCCCTATTGTATCCTTCTCTTCAATTTGCATAGTGTTGGGATCGGTGAGGATCTCATTATATACAAGTCACAAATTCAATAGCAACAATAAACCTATGCGCAAAGGATCCAGAGGTTTAGAGTTCTTATGGCTTATAATTCGCAGACTCTAAAATGTTGTAGATTACCGTTGAAGGAAATCGTTTGATCTCAAAATCCGTTGGGCAGCTAGATTTTTCTCGTCGAAATCGAGAAGCTCACGGGAGTGGCCAGGAGCAGCTGTCACATCGCAGGGTCGCCGATGGTGCACGCGGGGTCGTCGTGCGGACGTGGCGGCTCGCGGCGGTCGACGGTGGTCGGCGGTGGTGGTCGGCCAACGGTCACGGGGCTGATCGTCAGTTGATGATCACGGGGTCTCGGTACCTCGTGATCTTCTACTGTATCTCAAACACCTCTTCAAGTTGTATCGGTGGAGCAAGAAGACGATGATAAAGCTCGACTATGGGAACTAGAGAGAGAGAGGGGCGGCCGAACGTCTTGCACGTTATGTTTTCATACGTGTCTCAATCCCATGAGCTTAATGATGTATATATAGAGCTACAGTAGGGATCCTAAGGAGATGAGGACTAGGGATCCTTAAGCATTGGGCCTAACTATGAGCCGAGCCCACTCTTGCCAATACTTAAATAATGTTTCGGTCCACTAACGAAAACATTATTGAACTCCCTTATCCTCCCCAAAATTATATTCGAGACTCAAAATTATAATTACTCGATTTATCTCCCCATGTTGGAGATATAATGTCTATTAATTAATTCGATTACTGATAATCAAGAATTAATTAATATTATAGTACCAAAGCTAGTGCCATTCATCACATTATTATTATGCCGTAACTTAATCCACCTGCAGGGTTTTATCATAACAATCCTTCATGAATTCACTTCGGGGACATTATCAACCGTCGCACATGGTGACCATAAATATTCTAACAACACATCGTACATATAATAATATTACCCAAAACAGCAAGTCTGTTGACTCAGTAAACTAAATCTCACTTATGTGAATCAATGTAATAGTTACCATATGCACATGCCTGTTTATGTCTTACGGGTTAAGAGAATGCAGTAATTAACCGAGACTTGAGTTTGTTTACGACGATCATTATAAAACAAAATGCTACTCTCCGGGATCCTGTTCAATACATAAATGTACTAGTGCAACTAATCAGTCAAGACCCACCGTACAGTTGACACTACAACCGTTCAAATAGTTTGTTAATTTCCATTTAGCTTGTGAACCAACAATTCTTGTTTCGCAAGTAACTGATAAAATGATCTTTTATTCACCCAATAATGAACCATTCTATGTAAGTGCAAAACAACAAACCATAGAACTTGTTTAATCAAACATGATTCTCATTCAACAAAGATAAAGTGTAATATCATCTAAAGCTAAGCTTTTAGTATATAACACCAACACATAGGACTATCATTAATAGTTTAAACCACCAGTTCCATGCTTTTTCCAATTTCCCCAGTAGGAAGTTTCAAGAAGACACCGTTTCTCTGATCTGATTCTGAGAATTGCTCAGGCATATGTTTGCTTTTGCTAGTTGAAGCTACCTTCATTCTCTCATTAAACATCTCTCTACTGTGAGAAGACACTGCACTTCCAATGATGACAGGTTCACTAGTGCTTGTTGGATTTGGTGATGCTGTGGTTTCTGGCTTAGAAGAGGATTTGCTGGAGTAGTTTGATTTGAACGTACCTCCTCCTTCAACTGCCTTCATCCATTCACCATATTACCCCTCTTTGATTTTCCCCTGTTAAATGTCTTTAGTTCTTTTGGTACATGCCCTGTCCAAATGCCCCAGCTGCCCATAGTAGTAGCAAAGGTTGACAAGTTTTTCATATTGAAAGCTTATCAAAACATGTTGATCGTTCAACCTCATATTGATGCACCTCGGCAGCGGACATCACGGTTTATGTCCACCAGTAACCTAATGAAGTTGGCTCTTGTTCCCCCAGCTTTGACATTAGCCACATTTTTAACTTTCTTGAAGATCCTGCCTATTTTTAACCCTACTTCTGTGCTCAGTCAATTTCACGGCACATTGTTAACTTGTACCCACATATTCAGCACTTTGAACCATGCGTGATTTCTCGAGTCTTTCTTCCCAATCCATAAGAATGAGGTCTTGGTTCTCATAAACCAATTGATACCAGCTGCCACCTTTCTCTTATCTTCTTGGTTCCCGAAAATGAATTGAAAAAGTTATGAGCTAGTTCTCTAACCTCCACCTGCTGTTTGATCTAACAAATAGCTCCCATTGTGCGTCTAATACCCAACAGACTGCCTCTCCTATCACCAACTACTTTCTCGAATAAGCTTCTGTCGCACTTCTCTGCACTTGATCGAATATCATCATCAACCAGTTCAATTAATCCATTTATCTTCTTATGTTATTTTATACTTAATAAATTTATTCAACATGGATTTATAATTTATATTATAAGATACTTTAGGTCCATTTATTATTTTAAATTATTATTATATATACTTCTATATATATTTATATCGATAGAAATAATTATATTATTTTAATTTTATTTACACAACATTGTCAATCAAACATTATTGGAAAGAAATGATGTGATATATTTCATATAAAAAGGGTAAAAAATAAAATAAAATTCAAATTTTAAAAAGTAAATGGTAGAACATAATTAATTTTTTAACTAAAAAAAATTAAAACAAACATACCATTTTTTAATGCATTTTTTTTTTCAAAACGATAGAGATTTTATAAAAAACCACACAAAATTACAAACGAGAGAGCATCCTAAAGCTAAATGAGACAACTAAAAGTCGAATAAAAATGGGAAGACCGATCCGAAGATCGCCTAGAACCTAAAGTAGAAAGAAACCTAGACTACACTCCACAAACCTAAACAAAAAACAACAAATCTCTAATAATGGAGAATAAACCCTCCCACTTGGGAAACTACATGCTCCCAACGCGAGCAAACATATGACGCAACAACACAAACAACTACGACTCACAAAACACAAACCAAACTAACTAAAAAGATTAAAACTAGACTTATGCTCTTCCCACAGCCGACAAACACGCCAAGAGCCAAATGATGGCGGCACCCACAGTCGATCACCTCAATGGCCCTAACCAAGCCCCGAGACGCCGCTCCCGAAACTGCCAAACACGCCTAACTACAACTGCAAACTAAGAACCCGAGACTAAACTAGTTCTCTAACCTCCACCTACTGTTTGATCTGCTAAATAGCACCCATTGTGCGTCTAATACCTAGCAGACTAGCCTTCCTATCACCAACTGCTTTCCGAAATAAGCTTCTGTCGCACTCTTCTGCACTAGATCGAATATCATCATCAACCAGTCCAATTAATCCTTTTATCTATTTATGTTATTTTATACTTAATAAAATTTATTTAACATGGATTCATAATTTATATTATAAGATACTTTTAGGTCCATTAATTATTTTAAATTGTTACATTATATATATATATATATAATTTTATATCGATAGAAAAATTATATTATTTTAATTTTATTTAAAATACATTGTAAATCAAACATCATTGGAAAGAAATGATGTGATATATTTGATAAAAAAGGGTAAAAAAAACGAATTTTAAAAATTAAATGGTAGAACATAAATAAATTTTTAACTAAAAAAAATTAAAACAAACATACCTTGTTTTAATGCAAAAAAAATATTTTTTTCGAAACGATAGAGATGTTATAAAAAAAACCACACAAATTACGAACGAGAGAACATCCCACAGCTGAATGAGATAGCTAAAAGTCGAATAAAAATGGGAGGACGGCACCAAAGATCGTCTAGAACCTACGGTAGAATGAAACCTAGACTACACTCCACAAACCTAAACAAAAACAACAAATCTCCAAGAATGGAGATAAACCCTCCCACTTGGGAGACTACATGCTCCCAAACAGGAGCAAACACAAGACGCAACAACACAAACAACAACGACTCACAAAACACAAACAAAACTAACTAAAAAGACTAAAACTAGACTTATGCCCTTCCCACAGCCGGCAAACACACCAAGTGCTACATGATGGCGGCACCCATAGCCGATGACCTCAACGGACCAGACCAAGCCCCGACGCCGCTCCAGAAACTGCCAAACACACCTAATTGCAACCGCAAACTAATAACCCGACCCCGTGCCAAACGGTCAACCAACTCTCTCAACATCACCGCCATCCCCAACTTGCCTACACCACGGACAAGATCGAAGAACGCCAACCACCCCCTTAACCCAAACACCAGGGAAAAGAGGCATATGAGATGAGGGAAGCAGAACCTCCACCTCAATCACCATCACCGTCGCTCAGAGTCGCAACCACCCCTCGAGAAAAAACCACTGCCAGCCACCTCTGTGACACCAGGAAGCCGATGACAGGATATGCAACTAACATATATGAAAGAATAAGGATTCAGACAAAAAACTTTTGTTCCATCTTTTGACGATTGTGGAAAATGTAAGCTATTTAAGTACCATATGAATTAGAGAATCACATATTGTGCTCTTTGAAAAAAATGGATATTAATTTATATATATATATATATATATATATATATATAATATATATATGTTTCTTGACATCAATCATAATTAATCTTCAGAGTAAGAAGTTATTTTTTGAATATTTTGAATTTTTGAAATATTCATAATAAACAAAGTTTTAAGGTAATCAATGTAAAAATCATACAAAACATAGGTAACTTACATTTTATAGTTTGTTATATATAAATATTAATAATTTATCAATATCATAAACTATTTTTTACCATTTTTTGCAATACTTATGACA